ATATATATATTTGTCTTATATTCTTTAATGGAACTCCAACTCAAATTGCTGTATTTGAAGTCATCAGTAGCATGTTATTTTAATTTTCATATAGGCCAGAATCTAGAATTCTAGCATATTATATTTAAGTACACACCCCAAATATATGTAAATTCTTGGAATATCCTTGCCAAAGACATTGATCTATAAAGGCTATAATTAATATTAAGATAGTGAAATATGATATCTTTTATCATATAAATTTAGTGTCAAATATAGATTGCGACATTACTATATTTTTCTATGCAGTACATGCTTTATGTAATTCTTTATCAAACTCTGTATTCTAGACACACCACTTTTAGCAACACTCAACCTTCAAAACAAAATACAAACTTAAGTACAAAAGAAGACAGAAATCATCACTGAACACGTTCTCGGTAGCTGAGGTACTAGTTCCTCTCATACAGTCATTCCACAGTGAGACAGCTCTTCCTAAAGCCATCTGAATCGCCACCACATGATCAGAAATGATGAGTAATTAACAAAGGCTTTCGTGGTTACTAATTACTAGTTTGTATCACTAAAACTCTCCTGTCAAATCACAACGGAAAAAAAAAAAAGAATTCTGTTCACAAAGACTCAACAATCTTACAAATGCAATTCAAAGTCCATTTACAAGGAATTTTACATTATAAATTCTTTCATTTACAAGAAAATGACATTATTATTATTATTATTTATCTTCCACTAACAGTCAGAAACTGAGACATTTTTTCATTTGTTTTGGGGGGAACTTTGTTCACTAAAGAATATTTCAGAGTAAAGTTATTTTGAACACTAGCCAATAAGAAAGGAGATGTCAATACTGAATAGAACTACGAAAGATGTCACATTGCAGGAGAAAGAAAGGGAAGGGAGGAGAAGAAAAAACAAAGGATGGAGTAGAAGTAAAGCCAAGTTTCTTGTTTGTTAATAAAATGTGTCCTATGCATCCATAATGTCAAGGCCATCATCCATGCTGCAGGACACTCTTCGGTCCTAGGGTGAGTCTATAACCCTGTATCCTCTTTCAGTGGTATGAATCGGTTTCTTTGAGACTCAGCAAGGTTGTGGAATGTGGCTGAACTAGAATGAGTAAGGGACTTAAACTGAAGGCACTTCACTGATTATCTATGGTAAGTCTAAGTAGTTTAGGTTGTTCTAGACAACAACATAAAGGACAGAGAATAAATAGTTTAATACAGGGATATGCAAGGCTACTTTTAGTGAACTGTGGCACAAAAAGACACAAAGAGAACTTTACAATAATTCATGACAGTTTACTGGTCCACTTTAATTATGGTCATCATGACTTAGTGAGTTAATGTTGAAAAATGAATTAATAACATCCAATTCATTCATTGGTGACATCCACTAAATGTGAGAGATACACAATACATGTAATCTAATGAGATTGTATGATGCTGGATTCCTACATTGGGGAAATAGCTGTCACAAATTAAGGAGGAAAGAAACGGGCAGAAATACCTAATTAGTCAAAAACATTAAAAGCTATTTAACTAGTGAAGTCCAAACTTCATGATAATGCGCTGCTTTAGGTAGAAGACATGGAAAGTATTTTAGCCCAAACTATTAATAATTCATTTTTCACAATCGAAGGCTAGAGCATGTGCTTCTAGCTCTTTACAAGGTGAAACAATCTAACAATAAACCAAAAAATCACATGACATACATAAACAGAGGCACTTAAAAGGCCACTTCTATTGTGTTTGTGACTTAGTAAGACAGGCTTAGAGTGCTCCAGATTGTTGTTGACCTGGGGCACTCTCATTCCTAGGGGAGAGCAAGGAGACTTGGCTGATGTAAGCCTTGCCTTTCATTTCTCCCATCTGAAAACAGTCTATTATTAGGATGAGGCCTGGCAGTCTTAAATAAAACTGATTATCATTCCCTCCCTCTGTCCAAATACTAAGACCTGTCAAGACCTCTAAAGGGACTAACAAAGAAGATTTATCTTAAAAGTCCAATATGCAAGTGAAGCATCAGAAGAAAGTAGCAGAGAAGTAGTAGCTATTTACTACTGAAGACTCAGTATTTACTTCAAACCACAGACAAGTCAGGAGGAGGCTTAGAAACAGACTGGAAAAGAGACTCTCTTCAACATACCTATATTAGCTGGCTTCCTGGAAACTGTGGGGTGATGGTTAACTTAGGGAGAGAAAGGTGACCATCAAGAAGAGGGGGAAGAGGATACAGAAGAATGGGA